CAGGAATTAAATTAAACTACTATGGCTTTTCTCAGCGAATCCAATTCCGCTTTGGCTGATGAATGCTCCCCTAGGAATAAAAGGAGGAACGAAACACATTCTCCCGCCCCAGAAGCCGGGGACGGGACCCCATATGGCCTTAACTTCCGAAGATCCTTTTTTAGCTGCTGCTCAGTTTCACTTATCGTTGTCGACACTTATATGTTGCTAATAGGAAGCTATATGGAGTAGAGATTTCTTGAAGAAATAATACGAAGCCTCTCGAAATTTCTTATTTTGTTCTTACCCTGGATCGAGTGTACCTTTTTTTTGGATGTTTATATGGAGAAAGCAGTCTATACATATGAAATATAAATAAGATACATATGACTAACGTGTACACCATCTGTCGTTCAAGACTTGTTTAAAAAATTTGTCGCAGGAAATAAAACCCTGGAGAGGAAGATAATGCCCCTAATACGGGACAGGATCTTCTCGGCGTTAACTGAAGATGGATGTCTGAAAGGAGAAGGCTCAAATAAGAATGTAGGTTCTACCCATTCTGAATCTAATGATGGCGTTTTATCTGGGTTTGATGAAATGAAATTAGGTGAATAATTTATGAAGACGCTCCACAACTTAGGTTGAAAGACACAGCAGAGGAAAATCTCTAAGCCAAAAGGAAGATCCTATCTCAGAGTAGAGCGCGCCAAGGGATAATAGAGAATAGGAAGCAAACAATTTGCGGATAGTTGTTTCTAACTATTCCGGAGTGCAATGTCAGATACCGCAATGACAATGTGCCACTATGCACATCGTGTATTCAACAGTACTTCTCACTCTATAATCCCTTCAAGCGCAACATTCATTGCCACTTCATTGTATGAAGAAATTTTGACCACCAAGAACTTGTTCCTTTTGTTTCTTCCTTAATGATACATTAATTACTGCAGTGAATAACTATTTATCTGTTAATGGCGAATATCTAAGCCGTATCTGTTTTTTCTTTCGTTTACAGGACGGCAAAGATCGAACATATCAAGTCATAGTGTATTTTTATCTGAACGAATTATTCCTCTTTCGCCCCTGGATTTGTTCTGTTGGAGACACTTAATATTATGATGTGAATAAAAGTTTCGTGATATCACCCATCTCACCTTTATCTTATATGGAGGATTTAATAGGTTAATTCAGTAACTGACCAATCTAAGCAGAAGAAATAAACCTAAATATCCACAACATCATTGGGGGGGGGTTCAACATAAAGCCATGTGATCATAATATTCTAACCACAACCCATGAAAAAGATGACTTCCTCTCCCGGAACAAGCCATGACGAAAATGGAAGCTCCGTATATATATAAATATATATAATATCTATAGAGGTCTAAGGGCGAGATAGATAGAGACAGAAAAATTCCATTATTCATTTCTCTGCAAACCACATGCGTTTCTACCCTCTATACCCGGAACAAACTTTAACCTTCCTCTATATATGAAATAATCTTGATGCATATTCCTTTTCCCATTATGTATACATTATCAGATAAACCCGATTGATAGGGAGGAATGGGTTCAATTTCATAAACAGGCACTACTCAAATCAAGGCGGAGAAAAGGACCACTAAATCGATGTCTAGAGAAGACATATTATTATATTTGTAGATAATATTTCATTAAAAGTGACCCTGTTTTAATAGCACGAAAACATTCCCGCAATAGTCATGTTAAGTAGAAAAACAGCTCCAAATCAAAATCCAATCGGAAACATGATGGAGGAAATGTCTAGTAGGATTCAGTAGATGATACAACCAGCTTCACGGGAAGGACGTATATATAATTGTATTTCGGTGATGCAAACAATCTTCCATGATTATTTCAAGGGCTACTATTGACGAATTCGAATTAGCTTATGTGCTCCTTGTATTTTGTTTTGTTTTTTTAAGATATTACAGACATTATGTGGCTTATTAGGAATCTGTAGCTGTAATCTCATTAAAAAATAAAGGAATTATTTTTAATTCCTCCAAAGATGCATACATATGTAGATATACAGGCTTCCTTCCTTACTGTATTGATAGTTATTTTTTAGTAAAAACTAAAATCAGGGAATTATAGAGGCAAATTCATTTTAATACGTAAAATCGGTTCTGAACCTTCCCTAAAGAATCATCCCCAGGCAATAAACAATAACCATCCGGCCACTACTCATGGGGCATACAGAAAGAAGAGGCTTTGAAGGAACCTGTGAAAACTACACACACACGCCTTAGCCCACAAGAACTCAGTCGTCAGGCCCAAATCCGGGAGGTACCAACGAAGGGGTAGCCATTGAGACAGGACAACTACGGATCAAACCCAAGGAACATATCTCGGCAATACTAGACTTAAAGGAGGCCCCCGGACGATCCATCTTGGATGACAAGAAACAGCAACTGAGCAGCAGAGGCTAAATGTAACACTGACCCATAACCGCTAAGAAGTAGGGTATGAAGCCTCAAGACTGAGCACTAAAAGGGGTTACATATCGCAAATAACCAAGCCAGTGAGTCAAACGCACAGAGTACTAAGAGATAGACCAAACACGTTATAGGAGGACAAATAACAAGGAATTAAGGCCCTAGAGGAAATAAAGGGACCGTAGAGGAACAAAACTAAAAATAGAAAAGCCGGCTGAGGCGCAAACCCTAATCAATAAAGATTATGGAACCCACTAATGAAGAAGACGTGCCGGAAACAGCCACAGGGGAGAGGAGGATTAGGAGGCAGAGTCTAAACACTAGGGCCTAACATGTGTATACTAAATGGTGACGCCTAAATATTGAAAGAAACATAGTATATTCTGAACAAGAGAAACACGAACAGGAAAAGTAAGCGTAGTGACTACCAAATAGACGCTAAACCTAACCACGAAGAGGTAGATAATAACAAAAGGAGTCTACCCACCAAATTATAAGCCTTAATCCCTACGCACTGAAGGAAAAACACTACGGCCTATAAAATCTGAAACCCAGAAAGAGCTCTGAGAGAATAAAGAATAAGACAATCCCCCAAGGCTCTAACGGAAAGCAGCTACACCCTAATCCCACAACAATAATCACTAAATACAGACCCCTGATAAATGAAACATAGCCACCTTACCCAGGTCCCTACGAAAGAGACCCTAATCCATAACCCAAACGTTAAATATACCACCCAGAAGCCGAAGCCCTGACCGATACAAACAAACCTTAAACAATGTGGGAATGACAGCACCACCTGAAAGATGAACCTTAAATCCTCAACCTGAACCCGGAAAATGCAACCTAAACCATAAACACAAAGAAGTAAAGGCAGAACCACCAGGCATAACCGCCTAAACTCCAAATCCAAATGGGGGGACAGTAAACAGAGAAACCTGGAACCCAATCCAGGACCACTAAACCTTAAACCATACACCCTGAAATCTGAGTTCCTGAGAGAAGAACCCTGACCCCTGAACCAGAGAGTCTCCACGTAAGCCCTAAACCTAAATGCCGGACCCCCCAACAATAAAGGCTAAACCCTGAAGCCACGAGCTGACCCAACCCTCCCAAACGTAAACCAGCAAAGCTACGGTCTGAGCAGTCAGCCCTAAAGAGCAACGCTCAGACGACAGCCCTACCTCATAAAACTAAGGCAAGAAACCGAATCCCTAAAAACTAAACACAGCCCCCTGGACCCGAAGGCCTAGACACTCAATACTAAACCCTGAACCATAAACCCGACATCCTAAACCCTAAACCCTAAACCGAGAACCATAAACCCTGAAACCTAAATGATAACGGTAGTCCCTAAACCCTAAAGCTAAGGCCTGAACCCTCAAGCACGAATTCTAAACCCCAAGGCCTAAACCTGAACCCTGGACCCTAACCCCTAAGGCCTAGACGCTTTGCCGCAAAGCACCAACCCTAAACCATTGACCCTAAACCGTAAACCCTGGATCCTAAACCTAAGCCCTGAACCCTAAACACTCATGGCTAGACCCCGACCCGAAAATCCTAACTGTCATAACCCAAACCCTAAACCCCGAAACCACAGATCCTAATCACCCATTGCCCGAAACTCACCTTCCCTTAGTTCGAAACTTTCCGCGTCCATGGCTGTACTAGAAACCTTCATGGATAATGCGCCCCTTTCATGTCCAACTGATGCCCTCCTGAGCTTGAGGGGTCCAACTGACAACTTCCGGGAATCCCTGCCGTAATTGAACCCGGGCAGTTTCTCCTTCTTGCTCTGCAGGGCTTCCTGGTCGCTGGGAAATTTGCCTCAGTCTGTTTGTTCCTTGGCATTGTCATTCCGTACCTGCCCATCCTAGCTACCTGCTCAGCTGTTCATGTTCCGGTAGGCCACTTCTATTCTTCTCCGAGTCTTGGTCCCTAACCACTTAGACCCCGGACTAAAGATTCTCCAATACGCATATGCAGAAGCAACAACGCCTGCGACTGCTGCTATCCCCCCTGCCATCCCGGCCCAGGGAGATGATGAGTCTTCTTGTAGGGGCTCATTACTCGTGAGATCGGCCCCTTGTACCACGCTATTATTCTTCTCCTCGACGCGCGAACCTGCCGGTAGATGTTGGCTTAGTTGGGTAGCCGTGGGGTGGGGGGATCTGTCGTTCGTATTTTGTCCATGAGAATTATCTCCTGAGATGGATACAGAGGGGGGGAAACCGGAATCGCTTTGGACCCCCCTTCTTGATGTGACCGGCTCGTGGTTTGTTGGCGGCTTGGCCGTTGACGCCTCTGATGTCTCCCCTTTGTTTTCCTGAAGGTTGTTCTGATCCTCTGGATGGGGTTGATGGTCGGACTGTGCTGTATTTGACCCTCCAGTGATGGGTGAATGGGTGGAGGGTGCCGCCCTGGTTATCTTTGGGGGGGGTTCCTGTTGGTCCTGCCTCCCCATGCTGTGGCCTGGACCTAATCGGTCCTCGGTTTGTACTGTCTTGGTTTCTGGCAGATAGACACCCAAACTCCCCCCCGTAATCATCAACCTTCCGTTACTGGTGCTGTCGGATTCCCATCTTCTTTTGGTGCTATTCCATTTCAAACTCTTCGTTTCTGAGTTGGGATTTGATCCTGGCCTTAACCAACCATCAACTGTAAAACTATGACAGGTGCCACAACATCTTCTCATAGCCTCATAGACAGTCAATATTAATGATAATGCTGCTGCTGAACACCCTTTGGTATTTCCTCCTGAACCACACTTCGCTATCTTGTCTGATAATTCTTCTGAGCGTCCGTCTTGAATCTTCTCCCAATCCTCTGGGTCGACTGCTAAAGTGTCATTAGCCACCCCACAGAGTTCCTTATAGTTCTTTGGGGCCCCTGCCCTGTCCGTTAAATACTGTTGCTTAAACCCCAGAATTATACAAGTTATCATCATCAACATCGCTTGCGTATTGTTGTTGTCCTCCCAAACTCCCGCCTGGTTCTTATTTGTGACTCCCTTCCAATGCCCGCAGTCCCAGAAGGGGCTGGTGTTTTGGCTCCTGGCAAGATCAGTTTCGCTTGCTATTTCTCCTATTTTTTTCAAAACACACGTTAACAGATCCCCCCAAGTCACGCTATCGCCCCCCAGATGTTTGGATCTTTTAAATCCTGTGTCTCCCGTTCCGATATCCTCCTTAAACTTTCGCCAGTCGTTTGTCAACTTTCCCTCAATCCCCCCTATCCACTGGTTCATACTCGGATATCTGCTTCGTGAGTTGTCCTTGCATGCGCCCATACAGTATTTTCTCTGTGCGTTGTTGTTACAGTTTCCTTGGGCTGTTGAAATCTGGACTTCGACTCCTGTTGGGCTCGAATTTAATGCTCCTATGTCCCAATAACGCTCCATCTTTTTACTGATTCTTCGACCTTCGAATATTAACACTTCTCAACTTTCTTGGGTTGTCGGAATTTCGGACACAATTTTTTCTCACCCTCACATGCTTCAGTGTTACTCTTAACCCCTTGCTGGCTGTAACCTGTCTCTTGACTTAACCCCCCTTAACCCTGTATGCAAATTCCGCCCCTCTTCGAGATGCTTAACCGCTCCTGTTATGGATACCACTAGCTCCCTTCTATGGCGGGATTCAAATGTCCTGTTTCTTCTTCGATTTTCCGGCCTCTTCCTCTCTAATAGACCTTTAGATATTTCCCTGATTCACGATGTCCTGAGTCGTCCAGTTTCTCCTACTTCTGGATTCCCCTTCCCTTATGTATGTGGATGGTCAGGTCCCTGACGATGGGCTATGGCCCACTTGTTGAATCCATTAACTCCTACGTCCCTTCTATTCTGATCGAGAGAGCTGTGGCTGCTGATTCTCCTGATTCCTGGCCTACTGGCTCGAAGTTGTCCCCTTGGCGTTCCCATCCCTCCCTGTGATACCTGACTTGCATTTTTTACCCAATATGACTTCTTTTTCCTTATCTCTCCCTTCTCACCATTAATTGCCTGCCCGCCTCATGGGAGGGGAGTCCCTTGCTCCCCTTGTCCTCGTCACAGAGAACTCTGGATGCAGTTGCTTCCTGTGGTGCCTTTCTTGCCATTTGGACTTGCCCCTTCTCCTTCTTCCTGCTTCTCAACGAGTCCTCCTTGAGTCTTGGCTTCCTTTTCCTTCACCAGGGTCCAGCCTTCCGTTTTTAATTGGTTTGGGCCTTGGGCTTCTTACCGTTGTTGTTTGTTTGGTTGCTTTGCTCCGTCCCTTTTCTGTCCCCCGCTGTGTCTTCCGGACATATCCTTAATACTGACTCGTCAGTTGGATTGAGGTTCCATTGATCGCCTCGGGCTTGCTCCTTGGGTTTTTGCTGCTGGAAAGGGCGCCCTTGCCTCTGGCGCACTTTTCCCTCCCACTTCTCCTTGGTTTGAATCTCTTATTCTATTTCCCTTTTTTTTAACTCTAACTCACCAGGAGTCTTCTCATATGGGCCTCCTTTCTTAGTCATTCAGTCCCTGAAGTTTCCGCACTCGTCCATTTTCTTTGGAGTCTCAGTCTTGCCTATAACGCCTAACTAGTGTGGGCATCCCTTTTCTTTGTTCCTCGATCTCACTCTCGGGTTCCTTTTCCTTTCGCTGTTGGGCTTCTTTATCCTGTCGCTCCTTTATTCCACTCATACACGCTTATTGTTTGTTTCTTTCAGCCCGTATGATTCCATTATATCCTGCGCATTCTAGGGACTTCCCTAACCTGGCCCTGCTCCCTCCTCAGCCTTGTCCTGCTGCCCTCCTGGTCCTATTTCTTCACCGCCGTCCCGTCTCTTAGAGTAGACTGTCTTATCACTTTCGAGGACGGGGTTGCCGGACTCTCCTCGTGGAAGTTGAATTAACTCTTGGTGCCGAATTCTTAACTCCCTCTTTCATTTCTCCTTGCCTCGTTATGATTCATCCTCGTCTGCAATTTTATCCTTATCCCCCCCCTCTGTTCTTAGTTTCTGGGGGGGTCCCCTGTTATCCTCCTCCCGTCTCAGTAATTTGGGGGGATGACCCTTTACGTGCTTTTCGCTCCTTTATTCTGTGTGTATTGCTCGTAGGAGAGCCCCCCTTTTGCCTTGTTCTCCCTTTATTGCTGTCTCGTCCCCTCTTCACCGATTTCTTAGCTCTCACTACTTCTTATTCTTCTGAATCTACCGCTGCGGGGAGGAATTTCCCTTCTCTCGCCCTCCTTTACGAAGTCCTGAGGTCCTTTCATCCAAACATTGGCTGTCCTATTCCTGTTTTGGGTTGTTTAACTTTGGCTTTTTTGGGGCTGGAATTGTCTGTAGTTCTCTTCGGGGGTTCTTAACCCCTCCCCCCCATAGGAGGTGTCCTGGGGTCACTTTTCCTTCCTTTTCCTGATGGACATTCCGTTTCCCCCCTATTCAGTCCTGCTTCGCGTGTCATGACCCGCCTCCTCTTTCTCCTCGGGGTGTTCTGGGCTGCTCCTCTTGTAGGTTCCTTTTTTGAGCCTAAGACTGCTAAGTTCTAGGGGTCGTCTCTTCTCTTGCTTTGTGTTCTTCGGGGGAGCCCGTCATGTGGGAAGCTGGCTAACTCCGCTTCCTGATCTGAGGACATTCATTCGCCTGTTGAAATCTTCCCTGCTAGTCCCCCGGGGTTGTTGGACCTGTGTTTTGCTTTGTTCCATTTTGTCCTGATACTACGTGAAGTCTCTCCTTCGTTGAAGGGTTCCTTCTTCCTTTGCCGAGACGATACCAGATTTATAAGGAGGTGGGTCCCCAAGCTGTCATATCCTGAATTTTCTGTCACGATTTTTGGGCGGTTCCCCCTTCTTATCTCGTGAACATTTCTTCGCTTACCTCTATGATTATCTTCCCTCTCGGGAGTCCATTCGCTTTTCCTGGTCCCCTTCTGATCCTGTCTTCTCTTGTTTTAGTCGTTTTTCAGTCGAGTTTCGATCTGCTGCCTCGCTCTCCCTTCTTGTTGTCTATCCTACGTGTTAGCTCCCCCCTCCGTCCTGCCTGGGCTCGCCTCTGACTTTTTTCACTTTCCTTTAGGGGCCTGAGTTGTTTGGCTCTTCTCCCCTTGGTTTCACTGATATTTCTTGCCTCCTCCTCTATTCTCCGCTGTCTCTTATGTTAGTTGGTTGCTTACTCCCCACGTTAAGCCCTTCAGCTGTTTCGTTCTTGCCATTTAGTCTTACTCCTCCCTTATCTTGAATTCTTTTCTTCTGCTGCTGGGATCCTCCTGCCCTGGTTCCTTCTTTCTTTAATAAGGAAACCACCCTAATTGACTTACTCACTAGCTTCGCTTCTTCTTTGGGGTTCTGGCTACGGGATTATTTGGTCCGTATTTAATTTCTGTCTCTTTCCTCTTCTATTGAGTCTCTTCCTTGTGTTACTTTTTAGTCCTTCTTCGCTAACTACTCCGGCGGTCGTCTCCTGGGGTTCCGTTGCCTTGATGCGGATAATACCTCTTCCCCTTCGGGCCTATGCATCTCCTTGAGTGGTTCATGGGGATGTCTTGCTATTTTTGAGGTTTGATGAAGAGAGATTTGTGTCTCTTCGCCACTTTGACTTTTTCTTCTTTCTTTGAAGGAGTGGCCCTCGTGGGTGGATATTTCGTCTGCCAGGCCTTCCAGGGTATTGTCTGCTTCGGGGTTGGTGATTTGAGGAGAGTTCCTCGTTATCTTGACTTTTCCATTCTTTATGATTGGCCTACTTCGGTTTTATATTATCTGCTTCCGGTTCCCTTCTGCTTTTGACCTCCTTTCCCCTTATCTGACGAGTCCCTATGTCCTCCCTTTTGTTCTTTGGGTTCCTATTCTTCCTTGAAAATTCGTGGGGTCAGTCCTCTCCTTCCCTTGTCTCTGTTCCGGCCTATGCTCTGCTGAGTGCCTAGGTTTGCTTGGAGAGACCTCCTGCCTCTTTTTCCCTACCCTGGAGTTTATCATGTTTCAATTGATAACCGCTCCTTGTTTTATTTTTTTGCCGGTTCTAACTCCGGACTAGATTAACTTACGTGGTTGGGGGATTGACCTAAGAAGTCCTTTCTCGAGGTTATTTTTTGTGTTCCAACCTCGCCCTTTGTTGTTGCTTCTTTTTTGCTGGGTTTGGGTGGTTATTCTTCTTTGTTATAGTTGTTCAGGGCATGATAGCTCATCTTGGAGATCCAGGTTTCCCGGTTAGTTGTTGTTCTGGAATGTTTCCCTGATACCTGGGGGCCTTTGATCCTTTGGCTATCTGTGTTTCATATCATTGGATTCGAAGCGTCTTGGGGGTCCTCTTCTGATCTGGGGCTGTCCTCTGCTGTTTGACTTCTTTCCCTCTGGTTCGGACACTCTATTGCACAATTCACCTTAGGAGTCCGTCCCTTTGTGTTCGGGTGAATTCCATATTTGAACTTCAGGCATTTTCCTCTTGATTCTATGCTTCCTTTTCTTAAATGAAATTTCGGCCTGCTTCTTAGGTTTCCCTACTCGTGAATTCTTTGATATTTAACTTTCCTTGGATCTGAGTTTTGGTTTCGGACCTGCCTTGCCGTTTTGCTTCTCTTAAGTTGTTATAGAGGTGGGTTGGCAGGTTGATCCTATTGAGTGGGATTTCAATTTCTTTGGGTTTCCTTCCTTCAGTGAGATAGTCTTCTTGGTTGGTTTGTGTTCGCTGGTTTCGGTTGTTATGAGGTCTTTTCTGTGACTGCTGGTGATCTCTTTTTTCGTCTCGGGGGTTGGTTTGTTTAGTCAGACTTCGATTGAGGTTCAGTTGTGTTTATAGCAGGGTTGGTCGGTTGGGGTGGTTTCGGGAGTTCCAGACACTTGTCGATGCTATTCAGTGATGTGGAATAATACTTTTTCTATCCTGTTGGGAGAAAATATGGTTTCTCCTTCCTTCTGTTGCTGGTTTTCGGAATCTTTCCGTTTTTCTGGCAGACTGTTGACTTGAGCTTTCTTTCCTTTTCTTTGTAGATAGTTGTATTTTCGGATGGTCAGAGATTTCCGTGGTATCTTTATATTTCCAGGGCGCTTGGGAGGGGGGGGTCGAGGCAGATAGTTGCTGTACAGGTTGTTCGTCTGCTCCTGTTCACCCTTTGGAGTTCCGACTCAACTGGGGTTTATTTCTAATTCCTCAGGGTGTTTCATTCTCCTTCATCGCATCCTGAAGCAGATCTCTTATACTAGGCCTTTCCGGAAATCGTTATGGGCTTCCTCTATTACTCATATTAGATTTTTTATTTAGATTTATTCCTTCCTTTTCTTCTTCGGTCATTCATATTTTCACCTAGGTAAGTTTACCGGTTATTCTTATTATTTTTACTTTTGTTGTCTCGTAATGTGCTGGATTCTATCTTGTGGTATCCCCAATTTAGTCACTATGGAAAGTTATCTTCCAGTTTCCCCTTTTCCTTTCTTTCTCTCCTTGAGTAGTCTTTAGGGATTTCTCTGGATTCTTTTGAAGCGGTTTCCGCCTGCTATCTTAATGGATCAGTGGTAAGACTTTCTTTGCTATTATTTCGTGTTTCGTTTTGGGGGGTGCCTAATTTCACTTCCAGGAATATTGACTGAAAATGCTGAGGTTGTGTGATTTATTTTATCCCTTGGATGATCGTTATTTCGGTCCTTTTGATTTACCTATTTTATCCAGTGATTAGATTCCTTCGTCTGTTCGTTTCTGCTGCTCTGAGGGATCTGGTATGCCTTCAGTTGGTTAGGTTTCCTTAAGTGGCTTATTTGATATTCCTTTTCTTCTTTAACTTATTCCTTCGGATTGCAGGAGAATGCTTTTTTCTCCAGAGTATGTCCATTTACTGATAAAAACTTCTGGACGGTTGCTTTTCTTCCTTTTAGACTGATTCCTGATATTTGTTGATTTTTTCTATTCTCTTGAGATTTGGTTTATATAATTTTCTACCTTCTAGGGGATTTCTGTTGTAGATGCCCCTCTTCTCTTAGATACGGTCCCCTTTTCTATTTCTTCTGATTTCAGGTTTTGAGTTTATCCTGATTACGATTGCTTACCTTTTGAATTATATTATTCTCCTGTTTGTTGTTAGGTTGGGGTTCTGTTCATAATTTAGATCTGTCTTTGGGGCTCATGAATTTTCCCATTTTGCTTCATTAGTGCTTATTTGCCATATCCTCTTGGGGTTGGATTGCTGAGTGATATTGTTCAATTGACATAAGAAGCTGGTAGTTCTTATTCAATTCTTGACATGTTGGTCCATCATAGTTGCTACTGTTAATTTCATCCACAGGTTTAAAGACTTAGAGGCCTATAATAAGAGCTTTAGAACAGAGGGATACAATATAGGTAATTGATCTTGTAATTCTTACCTCGGGAACCTGTCCTGTCGTGGTTGCTCGTATTCAGTCGTCTAGGTGGTGTTATTTGTTTCGTTGGGTTTTTTCATATATATCACTCAGAATGGAGTTGTTGTCGTTCTCTCAGGAATTTGAGGAAATTGGTAATTAAAATAATGTGGCAATGGATTTATTACAGGGGTGATCATTTGATATTTTTTTCTGGTTCTTTAGCTCATAACACTACAGCTTTAGTTTTCAGCGGTCGTTCTGGGTTAGCATATCCGTTTTACATATTGGCGTCCTACCTTTCCTTTAGGGGCGTGTTTACACTCAGCTTTATTGTTATTAAGATTGGTGGGAATTACTTCACTTTAGTTTTGTTTGATTATAGTTTTTTATCTGAGTCTGATAATAGATTTTTATTTTACCATAATGAAGCTTTTGGTTGAAGATTTTGGCGTAGGGGGAGACATTAACGTGCTGGGGGGGGCATAGATTCATATAAAGAATTACACAAGAGATAAATTAATATCCTAATGGAGAATCAGATTAAAAATTCCCATAAAGGAGATTAATCTAGACTAATGATATCAGCACATCTCATAAATTGCCCTTTTATGCGAATTTTATTGTGCTTTGTTCTAGGCTCCAGTGTTGTAGTATCTGCGGAAATTTTTTCCAAAGTGATGATTTTTTGTGTTTCCTATTATTCCTTCCAGATCATAAATTTTATTAAGAATATACTTTTAAAATAGACCAAGATTTCCTTTAACGCAGAGCTTTGGTATTATTTTATTGAAGGAAGTTATTTCTTACTACTCTTCAAAATTTTCCTAGTCCCTGATATCTTTCCTGTAGAATCCTTTTAATGTCTGTTGCGTCTTGGGTTCACATATTTAAGTTTTCAGATTCTTCTTAATCATAATGCCCTTGGGAATTTCTCGGTTATACATATACTCATCTTCCTATACTTCATTTTATTCTAATTTTAGTTTATGAGTTTTCCTTAACTTAGGTTAGGTGTTCGCTTGATTTGGGCCGGGTTTCTATATCCTCACGTCTGTTTTAATACGCCTACCTGTATTTCGTAAATGTGTTCTATGGGCCATAATTCGAAACGTGAAATAAAATATAATATCAACATATAAAAATTCGAAATGTAGGTTTAAAGTGAAAATGATATTTACCCCCTTCCTCTAATATAATCGGTATCTCAAAATAGGAACCATTTTTTCCAAGTAGAATTTAGAATTAAATTACAAGTGGTTTAACTCTTTCACATTCCCGAGGAATGCATTTTGCTTATTTCTTCCTTCCTGAGTACACATGAATCTACAGAGGCAGCCTGTTATTATGCCTGTCATACTATGTCATATTGTGAATTTTTCTAATTCGGAGGTCTAGAAATTATTTTAATTAATTCTACATTATTGTGGTTCCTCAAATATAAGTGACTGAAAAGTTACGCTCTTCATCTTTCTTCTGTTGTCTGTTGCTTTTCTTTTTTTCTCCTGCGAAAGTCCAAACTTCTTTTAAGAGATGCTACCTCTTGCAGATACAGTAGAAGATATTAATCTTATAAAATACAAAAACTGTTGAATAAAAATGAGAAAATAAATTCTCTGAGTATCATCGGAAGAAGATTTTCATATAACAAAATTTTCCGCTGCTACACTGATATTTTTAGACTTGGAAGCCTATACAATATGAGACGATACAGCAGAGGCAGTTATTTTCTTAACCCGTTCATGTCTGTCCTTCTAGCAATCTCATGGCATTATTCCTGAGAAGTACTCATTTAACACTTACAGTTACATTCAATATTTTATAACCTATTATTCTCTACGAATCGATCTTGTTCAGAAGTCTATTCCATGATGAGAATTGAATTAATATGTCAATAATCTTATCTTTTTCCATATTCATATCTTTACCCAAATTCTTAGAGAACTACCCACTCCTGTGAACCTGAGGGAAAGGGGCTGAACCCCAGTATAGTATTAAACTCAAGAACTAGCCGATTATTTAGGGGAGAAGTTGACCTGGATTTCCAAGATAAATACGATCCCCTAAAGGACAAAATTATGATGATAGCAGACGATAATGATTGCAATTCCAAGAGAGGATTAAAATCCATGATGCAAGATAATGAATTTAACACACAATTCAATACAACGAATTCCAATCAAAGTGTTCAAAAGTGGGACAATTTTCATGATTCCTATGAAAGTTTTCCTAATCATGATGAGGTGTCTGATTCATCTAGAAGTATTGATAATAGTGACGAATCATCTCTTGAAATTAATTATCACGACGAAAATGGTGAAGTTCATAATAGTGACTTTACTATCTACAGCGAAGTACATTCATATAACCCTGTAGAGGACACATCACCTACAATTTAGAGCTATAGACACAGAAAAAAATCTATCTTCTCAAGTTTATTTAAATTACTGAAAGAAATAGATGCGGAATATGAAAGGGCAATAGACAATACACTGAAGAATAATGTACCTCATTATATTCAAGGTATCCTAGTTCCTAATATATCACAGAGAACAATAAAGGTTATTAAGATCCTTACAATTTTTCTCCCTGCCTTACTACCTGCTTCAGTAATATACACCTCAGTCCTATTAAATATGTTTGCAGTGGTTACCGTAATAGCAACACTTGTTAGTATACCATTCCTTCCCTCTCTCGCGTTATTCCTGTACATTCTTTACAAATACAATAATTGCAAATACTTGACTGTATGATTCTAATCATGTATATTCTCAAGAAAACGTCATCTATCATGAGAAATATAGAAAGAATATCCATAAACCTCCGTAGTTAATGCACCCTCCTCTATAGCATACATACACATCTCCCTTTTCAAACTTCCAATAATATGGACTACCGGTATATATATCCGTCCTATATGTAATAATTCTACATTCTTAAGTAGTTCCAGTTTTGGAACTACTTTTCTCCACTAGGACTTGTTATTCTTCTCCTCATAAATTTACCAATCGCATATTAATTTGGTTCGTTTCCTATTAATTCCGTACGAGTTTTATTAAAAATAATGCTGTTAAAAAGTTTTTTCCACTATTTCCTTCTGATTACATTTGATTGTTCATATATGTTTGTAAAAAGTTTCAATACTTAAAATTCTTAATGTCTGACATATTTACTATGATTAAATCAATTACAACATTTTCCTGTTCTAAAAACTTCCATTTGTTTACCAGGGGGCAGACTGAATCCATTAATTAAATTTAGTGGTGAGTAGTTTATACAGGGAATTTGTTCAGTATTCAATAACGCCTACGAAGTTATTGAGGCAATACGTATGGGAATTCTGACTTTACATAAATGTAGATATGTATCTTTAAATTTCTACACTTTCATATATTGATTAATTTGTTTATATTAATATGATAAACTTCAGTTGTTTCATTTCAATATCAGTTATATGATTATATAAAATAGAACATTTGAAGTTACTATTTGTCCACAGATAATTTTACAGGTCACACAAAGACGCCTTCATGACATAACTCGCCGCAGTCCTCTCCATCACCCTATTGGGGTTGCGGCAAACTTAACATATATGAAGAACATTCTACATGACGCTACTTTACTTGTGTTCTTCCTTTCATCCCGGATGAACATAGGTACTGTCTTGTTCTTATAAATGAAATCTGTAAGACCACTCTAATTTTTGTGATCTCATAGTGATGGGTCCCATTCACATTGACGAAGGGTATGGCTCCTTGGATGGTTTTCTTTCTCTGTTGGATTCGTTTACTCCTTCATTCATCTCTTTGGGTTGACATGCGTCTCTTGCTTTCCTTTTCTGAGTAAAACGCGCTGCATTTGGGGTTTCTTGGAAAGGGAATATTGTATTTATCAGTTTCAACATAAGCTGTTAGCCGTATCCCCCGTTATTCGTGAAGGGGGAGTCGTTGCTAAAAAGTCAGTTGATGATTCGTTATTAGAAATGAATTTCACATTCTGTTTACTTATAGCTACTATAACCTAATTTGTAAAAGTCTGAATGTAAATTATTCTGCGGTATACCGTGGCGAACATTAGTAGTTGTTCCTTGTGGGTATCTTTCCAGCATGATCTATTAGAAGATAAGGGAAAATTATATTCCTTCTGTTTCTCATTATAATGGGATGATCATTTAATCCGAATACCTGGCATGTGATTCATAAATTTATGCGTCTTTATTAAGGGCTGTTGGGGGAGGCTACTTTTTCACTTGAATATAGGGGTATCCGATATTACAGATGCTTCTTCTCTTATTAAGATTCTATATTTGGTTCATAATTACTCATGGGGAAACATAAATTTTCGATGAAGGTTTAAGAATATAATATTTCATCTCATCACTCCCTCATATTAATCTGAGTCACTCTTAACATGTAGGTTTTCTTGTTCCTTCGCCAATTCAAATGGCTTAGAAAAGACGGAGCACATGTAAGATTCGACTCTGTTTTTCCTTTTCCTGAATATAATATTCAGAACAATTAGAACTCATTCGTACATATACACAAATCCTTGCACTACCCCTCGTCCCTACAACCTGGGGCATTTAACACATTAATGTATAATGTGTTGCATTTTCCCTCTGTCCATGAAATTGCTCATATGTCTCATCTGTGGGGCTCTAACTGGACATAAACTGTGAAGAGATGTTATGGAAAGCTTATAAAAGAAACAAGTGGGAAATGTAAATGGCTTACATGCGTCTATAATGCCGAAAAAATTGATCTGCAGGCAATTTGAGAAAGAAATTTCTATTTGATACCTGTGTCTTCTCTATAAAGCCCCATTCTTGTAAGTAAAGGAAGGGATAGAAAAAGAAACATTCAGCACAACTTGTTGTTTTCTTGTTCTTTTTTTGGTTTTTTTCTTTCCTATTCGCTCAACCAACGGTACTTTGCGGGAATTTAAGGCATTCCCAATACTTTTATATATACTCCGCAAAATATTGTTCCCCTTATTTCCAACTGTTTACAAAAAAAAGAAAGTGCAATTTTGTTAATTGCAAAAGCTACTAATGCTAATACACCCTTTAAAGAAAAACCTTGCGCGGTCTAATATTTTTGGTGTTACTTTTCAGTTGAAATATTTTCCGGATAAGTTTACTGCTAGAATTCCAACCTTAGCGTACATTTCAAAACATGTTCATATACTAAAGCAGTGTTAGCCCTGTCTATTTGATTTATCCTGACAAATTAAACATAATGCGCGAAAGATAGCATAGCTTGGTAAAAATATCGCCAACATATATATTTGAGCCCAACTCTACTGCATGATTTCGGACTCTAAACAATCTTGGAACTCATCAGGAAATTGAGTAATAACAATATCACATAAACTTTATACATAGCCACACCACTATTGCACCTATTTTTTCATGACATCTCTGCAGTGTCTGAATTTTTTGTTTCATAAGACAATGTGTATTTATTACATCATCGTTCAGAAGAAGCAGACACTATCCCGGAAGGTTTCAGGGATGGCAATATGATTTAAAACACACAGGTCAATACAATAAACAATGTAATATAGGGAAAATTACTAGTTCAGATTATTCACCTTTAACCTATATTATGAGTGGTCGCATTCAACACCGGGATTTCCTTGCGAGATATATAAAAACAGATTTCCTACCATTCTGAATAATAATAATAAAGGGCAGTACCACGATAATGACACACACATCGAACGTGTTCATTCAAACAATATTCTAGGGGATTTCACACACTATTTCTTAAATGTCCTATCACAACTTTCACCCCCCAAGAATACCCCAGGGACATGTCTTATGTGAAGATGTTGTGCTCTTTGATCACCTATTTGACCATCACTACATGTTCTGGTTTCCTTAGGAATCCTCACTACTCATACGAAGCAATAAGGAAAGGTCTAATGAGAACCGTAGAACTGCTGTGCATACTTTGAGAACTGGAATGTGCACACGTTCTTCGTACTTGACTCTTGAATGAAAAGGATTCTTCCTGTGACATTCATTAGATTGGCACTGGGGAATCCATTGCCTGCATATGCTAAATACTCCTGTTCCGAATGAAAATCTTATACCAGGAACAACTATTGATACATCTTCATTCCAACCAAACTGTATTACAGCTACTCCCTATGACAATATCTCTCAACGCCCAGGTTATTATTCGAAACTTCCGTGAGGTGCTGTCACTCTGAATGTGAGGATGCCACTCACTAAGAAATTGTCAGAGCACCGGTGAGGATTCTGAAATATTTAAGTGGACATCTGAAACGTGCTAGCTCCGTCAGGAATCAAATTCCGCGGAGGGTAGGAATGAATCGATATCAACTTCTAGTGCAGTTCTCAGTGTTGAAAGATTGGAAGCAATGACACCGGGTATACAGACGGAAAATATAAATGTGAAATAAGTAAAGATTGGCAAGGTGTACTTACGGTCCGGACTATTCAATTTCCTGATATTGTACGTACAGATTGGAGGGCTCCTGCATCAGATCCCCCAGCCGCGGATATTACCCAACGGGTATCGCCCCCCTCTTCCCTTTCCTAGTAGGTTCAGTCTATTTTATCCACCAGCCTCTATGCTTTACCTATCAGTTTATGCAAATCTGTCACAACCCACCACAAATAAATCCTGCGCTGTGGGGGGTACATAATGTCCTTAACTGCTACGGATGCTCCCCCCTCTGTCCTTATGCTTACGAGTTTTGGGACAGGAAACTGACAATCCTAAAGACACTCCTCCCGCACTGTACCCTCACAAACAGTATATAATGATGCCTTGGCGTTTATTGAGGTGTTATTTATTATTTTAACACTTGGGGGGCCCATTACATAGGTTACCTTTCTTATGGAAGTATAGATATATGTATACATATACACACGCAAAAAATATCATTTACTGCACTGTGGTCACTATTTAGAAGACGTCGCGGAAACGGAACCAACTCCTCAGGCCAACTTTGTCCCCTAGAGCAATACACGCCCTTAGAATCGCAGTTTCCCCTGAAACACAGAAAGCGCGAAGCCGGAAGAAGGGTACACATACAGACAGCAATGTGTGGCCATGACTGCCAAAAAAAGAAGGATATATGATAATGAACACGTACCATTGTGCCACCTTGAATGTGAATAGTTAATATGTAATTAAAACATCTGAAAAAATGTATACAGGCAAAATAAGAGAGGAATGCTCCCCAGAATATTCTAGATATACATAGGGAACCTTTAGATGAATCAAAAAAGAAGAGTGCAAATTGACCAAGAAACATTTCCTCCAAGTAGGGGTGCACACATTTATGATAAATAAAGGTGTGATAGGTGGAATTACGTGACGGAGCAACTTAACAAAAATGGATGCACACAACTGTAGTGATCTGTACATACAAAAGAATCAGTGGCATAGTTTGCAACATAAATACTCGTACACTCTTGATATGTTCAAAGGGAACAATTAGTTCCAAAGATTACAGAAAGGAGGCAGAACGGAAGAACAATGCGTTCAGGAAATTGTAATGTCTACAAACAATCAATTTAACGAGGAGCCACAAACTCTTTTCATACAAACACAAGGAAGTGTATGTAACGATTAGGTTTCAAAACAGCCCATAGCTATGAGACAGTACACTCCAGATAGTTCCTTTGACAAAATTATCAAGCTCTACCAAAAGGAACACAGCCACGTATCTAATACATGAGACAATCGATAATACGTCACCAATAAAATGCCATAAAGGAAAACAGGAGGTGCATAACGACGAATTGTGTGTACTTACACTTGGGAAAGTACATACGCAAGTGTCGATACCGCTCCTCGTCCTGTTTCTGGATGAATGCGGAGAGCAATATGATTCAGAACACGGGAAGTTATACATAAACGGCCACATAGGAAACTGTTTAAACGAGCAAAATATGGAAACGTCCTCAGATATAGCAGATACACAAAGAATTTTCTTGGGGATGTCAAAAAGAAAAAAAAACCGCTGAGTATAGACCACAAAGATTTACACGCCTCATATAAGAGGAGACAAACGAACAATAATACAGACGCGCTCACCATCATGATAATGAAGTAGCTGGAGTAGAACCTCTTCAGGGGCGAAATAGAGGAGGCATACTTACATGTTACATTGGAATGGTGTTCATACAAATGCCCTAGATTGAGATGACCTGAGAGAACTTTGATAAATACAGAGTACAGAAACATGCGACGATCTCCTACCCAGAAAACAGAGGGGGCACGTCCTTCCAAAGACACGGACACGAGGTATCTGAAATAGTTAACAAATTAGGAAGATAATTAACCCTACTGCTGGTCACAATTGGAATGCGAAAAATATGTCAAAGAGAGCTCAAGAATTGCGACTCATAATGGAGGAAACATATCTGAAGGCCGCCAGACATTTCATCTACGACTGTATGACCCACTCGTCTTCAATGTGAGGGTAGACAAATTTTCCATAAAATACAAGGGAGAAAAAATTTGCAAATGGTGAATGCAGAACTTGATATTTGTAATAATCCTGCCAGAATGCTCCTGAGAATAGTCCATTTCTTTGTCCTCATAAATACCCTTTATACATAACAGCCTAGACACATAGGGAAGGAGTGCAAAAAGATTACTGTCCATTTGTTCTAATTAATGATAAACATGGCCTATGGGATTCTTTATTCCCACGCACCTACCAAATTAGGCCACACTGTTCTATGACACACACACAAACATGGAATTTATACGAATTGCTCACTCTCATCCGGATGCTTCTGTACGAAACAAGGCAGGACTCATTCAAGACACCGCAGTACAAATCACACATTGATAAAATATCCTCAGAGAGAATATCCTAAGTGAACATTAGAAGAAAAAAAAGAACAAGGAAATATAAGTACTACAGCATTCTCGAAGGCCAGGATGTCCACTACTTACATATCAGATCAGTCTGCCGTAAAGTTGTAATTGCAAAATGGCCTATCACTCATCTACCAACATAAATAGAAGTTATGCTATTCCTTCGACATATCTATTGCTCCAATGAGAGAACAATTAATGTATGTTTTACTGAAAGAATTGAGGGCATTCCTAATAGTATGAAAAAAGAAGGAGCTTCCTGGTTATATCTTTGCGAAACAGGATTCATCAAATTTGACACGGAAGAGGAACATTTAGAAATATGGTATCGCGGAAACAGGCCTCCCTTTGCCTAAATAGTGATCCTCATATAACCCATCAGGAAAGAAACCAACGTTTTTGTCGACGTCCCTGCTTAATCTTACTAGAATATATATGATCGTAACCCCTGCATTATATCGAAATGTTTTAAATCACAGGGTGTCCCCTTTTTTCCGATAGGACAAAGCAAAACAAGATGATAAAAGAACAACTCCTCGAAGTCCGAAATCAGACCTCTCCTGGTTGTTTATGGCTGACTCTGTTGGTACCAGTCCTTATAAGGAAGGGACATCCCAACACAGATGACGTCATAGGAGATTGATTCCATATACTGACTCATGGATCAGTCCATATTAGACAAAGACGCTTCTTCATATATAATTATGGGGATAAAAGGTGTCTATCCACGGTCTCACTTGGGACAATCTAAATCCTCTAACAACCAAACAGTCGATGCTTCCCTAATAATTGAGGGACAAACAGACTAATAAAACGGAAGAAGGTACACATGTTAACACAATGTAGACTCCATCTCGACACAGTTGAAGACATAACATATTGTTGGGGGGATAACTAAAATATAGAAGTAGGGTAAGATGACAGGGGACATAACCCCTTAGTGCACCCAGGTGCACAAATAGAGTCTGATTCAAGGTTGTAGACGATGGTATCAAATGTTGCTCGGGGAGGACGTCATATTAGTATGGGTTGTTTCCCAACCCTAAACCTAAACACCTCCCTCGGTGCCTAAACGCGCTCTCATCATTATCCCTGATATCTGCCCCCCCCATAACCCACTCCATACTTTCCCCTGCCTTCTGGACGGATCCCGTCCTTGTTCTTCGTCCATTGCTTTCTAAAGATCCTCCATAAACCATAAGCACTGCTCATTATTAGACATATTACAACCACTGCTCCCGCTATTAATTGCCAATGCCCCAATAAACTCCATAGGAACTCGCCCAATGCCGAGGCCTTGACTACCCCCCCCGGCGAAGCCTCGGAACGGGAACCAGTGTGATCGTCCATATCACCCTCATCCCCTGTTGAGCCCCCGTTCAACAACCCGTCCACTGCTTCCTGAGTTGACACGGAGTTCTTAAGTTGATCTTCTTGGGTTCCCTCTGGCTTGTTTGTTTCCTCAACTAGACTTTTGGGGTGGTTTTCTAATCCCGAAGACTCGGACGGCGTTTGTTGCTCGGATGACTTGGGAAGTTGCTCGGAGAATCCTTCCTGGCAAGATTTTTCACCGTCCTCAGAGTCGTCGCTTGTTTCTCCTTTATGAATCAAGCCCGCAGAATTTGATCGTAAGAGAACTACATTCTCAGGAGTCGTTGGAGGGGCAAGATGTGTTCCCCTTAACTTTTGGGCGACTTGATGGACTTCTGGTCTATCTAGTACCCCGAATTTTCCCTGTTTGGTGATCAAGACTGGGCTGGGAGTTTTATCTGGGACGGAATTACTACAAATCTCATTCTGTTGTTCAAAATAACAATACTCTTTCTGCTCTGATTGTAGTTTTCCTTCTTGTTCCTTTATCCAATAACTCAACCTATATGGGCCACATTGCGGGCAGAACTCTTTCAGTGCCTGGTAAATACTCAATATTAAGGCTATGGAGGCCTCCTGACAACCGTCAGTTCCACCATTTCTAGAACACAGTGCATGTTTGCTCTGGCTTCGCTCTGTCTGACTCGTTATCCACCGCTTCCATTCATCGACGGTGAACTCCAGACCCGCATCCACGCCATAACACCCTCTTGCTCTGTCGATAAATAGGGTGCCTTCTTTGTCTTTCCCCTCACTTAATCCTGTTACTATACACATTATCACGAATAACATTCTCTTACCGAAAGGAAATTGGTCCAGGGGGGAATCTAGGTATTCCTTTCCTCCAATGGCCCTACTCCATTCCTGCTTGGTCCACGTATGCGAATCCGTCGTCCCCTGTCTTGATGAGACTACTTTTGCATGGACTTTGTCTAATATCTTGTCCAGGAAATTCCCCCAGCTTAGGGTCTTGTCGTCGTCATGACTCATCAGTTGTGTGGATTGATCTGGATCAAACCCCCCTCCCCATTGATACGCTGTATTCTTCAATAACTTGGCCGAGATCCAGTCATCCGTTTCCCCCTATCGGGAAAATCCGGTATCCCCGAGTTGCTGGTAACAATACCTGTTTCCTTCAGTACAGGACCCCCCCGCAGCCTTCGGCTTCGTGAATCCCCATTTGCTTCTCTTAGGACTGATCCAGGATTCTAATCCCCATGTTACTCCTTTTCGCGGAAGTGACATGATTTATGTGGGGTGATTCCTAATTCTCTGCTAATTTCTCGCATTGTGGGGCATCCAGAAAACTAAGTCTCGGGCAATAACGATGCCTGGATCCAATCTATGGCTTGAAGAATCTTCACAAATCATAATACACGGAGGAGTACCCCCCTATTTTTCCTATAGTTGGCTCGGGAAGCTTTGGAATCTAAATCCTCCATGACTTGACTTTTCTTTTTTCTTCGGGACGCTTGTTTGTGGGGGTTCTTTATTCTTATCTAATTCCTGATTCTTTTTCTCCTGCTCGCGGGCCTAACCATCGTGTCTCGATTTTTCTTATCTAGTGAGATGTTAGTGCCAGTTATCCTGATGTCCCTGCTTCTCATTTATCTTTTGATTTGTCCTACTCTATCTTAGTGACGCCCTTAATTGGGGGCGGCCTCTCACTCCTGCGTAATTTTTCCCTCTCTTAATTGAGTAATTAATAAAAAAATCCCTCCCTTACTATATCATCTCTATCCCCGAAGGTTCCTTCACTTTTGGGTCTGGATGCATCGGGGTGAGTTATTCAGATTATGCGCACAATTTAGAATATACTTTTCCCAATTCGTCTTACCCGGAACTCAGCTCGGTCGCTTATTCTTCTTACTGCGTGGTTTCCTGGTTCCTATGGACCGGTCTCTTAATTGACCCATCTTCTCGGATCCTTAGAATTTCTTGGGGCTATTTATTATCATATCAAAAGAGAATCTCCTGACTCTAATATTTCTCTACTTCCAAGCTCTTCGGATCCTTTATCTTCTTATACGGCCTCAACTTTTTCCCCCTGCTGGTTTTAGGGATATGACGATGTTCATTAAATCTTTTGAAAACTATTTTGAGGGATCCTGTATCTTAGCCTTTAATAAAGAGAAATCCAGTCGACCTGAGCCTTCCGGAACCTATACTCAGACTAATTTTGGAGGTAAAAGAAATCCCCCCTTATCTGGGCCTAAGGCGGCCTCAACGTGTGGGACCTGATTTCAATTTCTCCACTTCCTTTCCTGGACCTGCTTTTTTTATTTTACCAGATGCCTTATTCACTAAAGATTGCCTGTTCAAGTTAATCCTATCTCTCCACACTTAATCCTCTGCAGATTCCTTCCGGCTGGGCCTATTCTTCTACAGGTCTAGGATTATTATGTTCTGACTTATGTTTCCTGACGTGTGTCCTTCTGTTAGATATCTATTCATGGAACGAAGCCCCTGACGAATCTAGTCGAGGCTTCAATTTTGCCTTACAGGTATTGCTGACATGAGACTTTGGTGTTGTGCGACGATTACTTTCTGGGCTCCTTTCCTAAAGCTTATGATTCTCTCTTTCTTAGCCGAATTGACTCAAATACTATGCTCCTATTCTTTCTTCTCTCTGATTCACTCTTCCTGGTCCTTCTTTCACCTGCTTCCCTGACCCCCCCTTCTGGTGAAGAGGATCTTAATTGCCTCCTGTTGCGTTTTTAGGTTCTAATTCCCTCCACTCTCGGAAGTTTTGTCTACTTATTGCTAGTTGTGAAGACATCATCATATCGGACGATTCCTAAAGGTTGTTTTGGACGAGGCCCCCGTCCCCCTGACACTTGTTGGTATCTTTCGCTTCTATGCTTCTCTCCTGCTGGTATTCAGTTCAGTTGAACTCTTCCGTTATTAGGAGATGTCTGTTCTTCATGATTTGCCCCGTCGTTGGAGGAGCAGGCTATTTTACTCCCCTCATAAGAAGTCCCCGGTGGTGACCTCATAAGCTCATGGCCTTTGTGGTAGTAGAGATGAAAGATCTTCATCCCTTTATTATCCTTTTCCTCCTTTTCTTAGCCATCTTCCTGCGCCTCCGAAGGAGAGTTGCCCTCTTGAAGAAGTTTCCTTTGACTTTGGTCCCTTTAGGGACTCAAAATTGTATTTATGCACTTCCATTTCTTTGGAGTTTTTCGGCCTAGTTTTAATAAACTTTTCCTTCGTGACATACAATTCTGGCTAATTCAGAGACTTCAGATGTTATGGGGGTAATCATGAAAATTACTTACACCTGTCCAGCTTCCTATGGATTGGACACTTTCTTAGACACCTATGCTACTTGTGAGTGGCTCGCACGTACTCCCTATTTTCCTGGCGACTGGATTCCGTACCTCCTCCTTCCTGTAAATATTTCATTAAGACTTACTTCTTCTTGTGGCTGAAACTTACTGGGGGGTGGTGGTGTTCTGATATACTCAAATTTTGCTTCTTCATCCTGCCTATACTTATAATATTTTCAGGGAAGTTCTCAGCCTTCTGCGGGATGGAGGATTTGTTGTCCGCGGCCTGCTTGGGGGTTGAGTAGACTTTTGGAATTTGAGAAAGGAGGTGGGAATCTTTGACTTCAATATTTCGGGTGGAAACTTGCTAATGAATTTAAGGACTATTCAGGTCGAAATTTTATGGCTGTCTAGATTACACGACACTTCCTTAGGGGAGACATGGTTTCAAGCCTACTCAAAAGTTATTGGTCTTTCTTATGCGGTGTAGTTCTTCTCCTTCAGGATCCTTTTTCTATTGCTCTGTTAAAAGCCTCCATGTCTGTATTCTTCTTTTGTTTCCATCTTCCACACCTTATCATTTCTGATACTTCTTCTTAACCTCGTTATCAACCTCCGTTAAATCCAGGTCCCTCTATGGTATTTGGGGTGATGGGCGCAGACTAGTGTTGTTTCTGGGAGATTCATAGGGGCTAAGTCTCTTTGTAATATTTTACGGCTCCAGGTGACGCTCACTTTTCCTTTTACTTCAATGGATCCTTTCCCTGCTGATTTCTTTCTCTGATTCGTTTTATCTTCTGGAGGAAAGAAAAAAGGATGTTCCTTGGCTTTTTTCTTTTGGCGCCTTTATTGTGGCTTACTTCCTAGTCCTTCTTTGGTACCTGCACATTCTCTAGTCATCTTCATATCTTCTTTGTCCCCCTTGATATTTTCTTGAGTTCAGCAATAATTTGGTTCACGTCCTTTGGGGGAAGGGCCGAGATATTCCCCACTTCCTGTGTTTTTTGCGGCTATTTAAGGCTTTGGTTGGTAACTTCCTGTAGACATCCTCCGCTAGGAGTTGTATTTGCTTTGCTGACTCTGCGCTAGAAGAGAAATTTATCCCCGGAGTTTTGATGTCAGGGTTAACTATTACAGGTGTCAGGCAAAGTTTGGATTAGTTCTCCTTATCTTTCCTGCTAATGTTCCTTATCCTCTAATATTATAATTCCTTCTGTTTTCCTTTATCACTTCAAAGGGTGGGACTCAATGTGTCCTAGTCTTTGTCTTCTTATAGCTGTATTCCTAGTCTGTTTGGAACATTTTCTGAGGAGTTACTGCAGTTTTCCTTTATTCCTGGGCTGCAGAATCAACTTACTTGACCTGCTGCGATTTCAAATTAGAATAACTTCATCATATGTCATGTTTCGACCCTGACACTTCTATCTTCCTTATTCATTTTTGGTTGTTTCGTCTTAATTTTTTGATTTTTCTTATTCTTCTCTTCTTTGCCCTCAGGAGTTATCATTATTTCATACTCCTAGATCTCCGCCGATTGCCTTGTGGTGAGTTCTTGGGATTCCTGTGGTTACTTCTTTATTCTTTATGGTATTATTGGGATTTCTTCGTCCTTCAGAATTATGATTAGTATTCTCGGCATCTTCTCCAATGAGGGGGAGGGAAGATTCCCAGCTCCTACTTGTTTAAGGGATTTTCGATGTGTCCATTATGGATGTGAATCTTACCTTCAGGAATTTGATTCTTCTTCCCTGGTACTACTACTCTTGCCTGCCCTGACGGGCGGTAGTCTCTTGAGAAGCATTTTTTACTGCTTCCTCTCTACTCTTAGATCTTCTCCTTTTCTTCGAAACTTCAGATAGTATACACGTTATATTCTAAGTAGGGAGCTTTGATCTTCTCCTCCGATTACTGAACCTGTGCTTCTGGAAGGGGAAGGGCGAGATTCACGTATTCTTTACTTTTGAAGGAGCTTTAATGAAGCCCCCATCCTACTTCTTTGTGATTTGTATTATTCAGGGACTACTCATTTTCTTCGCCCATTTCGTGCCTCTTTTTCCTTAGGGACTCTTTTATGGGGTGCTGACTTAGAAGGGCTTCGCATCTCCTTCTGTTATATGACTCCGGGGGGGGCCCCTTATCAACCAAGGTTAATCTAATCTTCCCCTGTTATCTTATATTGGCTTGTTATCTTCGGAGGCAGCCTTCTGATTAGGAACTTCACTGGGGCTCGTGGATACATTATGTTATCACTCCAGTGGGATAGTACCTGCCGATTATTGTTTCAGGCTTTTCTGGTTCTTCCGTCTTCTTTGTCAGAAGAATCTTCCTTTGTCTCTTTAGGTTATTCGATTGGTTGTCATCCTCTTTTGGATGCTGTCTGTTCTATACCCTCTCTTCCCCTGTGCGGCACACGCTGTTTCTGAAATACGTACTTAGGAGGTTTCTCCTCTGGTCCTTGCCCTTATTAAGTCAGCCGCTGCCTCTATAATCTTGTTCATCATTTCTTCCCCTTGACTTAATAGTCCCTTGATATCAATTGGTTCGCCATCATTTGCTACTGTATTGTTTCCTCCCCTTATTATAAAAGGTATATATTACCCCATGACATTTGCATATCTTTGCCCCTTTGCACTTAGAGCACTTTTCACAGAGAAGCGTGAACACATTTAAACGCTATAGGGGCCCTCTCAATCATATGCAACATGCAATTAGATTTCAATA